GCTAGCCATCTATTCTTTTTATGATTCCCACAGATGATGCCAAATTATGGGTGTCAATTTTCGACTACACAACCAAAGGGGGAACTTAGCTAGAGAGTACTGGCAGAATAGATTAAGCCCGAACAACCTGTCATAGAAAGATAAGAATCCGGTAGTGATTCGTCCACCCAGGGGCACTCTGATGATCAAGTCAGTAATCAATATCTCTCAAAGATAACCAACAATGCTTAACTCACTAGACAGAACATAAAAAACATACCTTAGACCCACGAGGGTGCCTTACTTTTATAGCCAGTACTCACAAGATCCCTGTAGAAGCCTAGCTTTAATGGGTTTTAGCTTAATGCTCATCTTGGGCTCCTAGCTTGATAGAGATAAACTCCTTAAGAGCTTTATCTTTATCCAGACTGAGGTCCTCCTCTATTCTAGGACTCTTGTCTCTTATGTGCTCATCCCGGATTCTAATATCCCAGCAGACAACCTCGGCCTAGACGAGATTACCTTGGCATCATGACCAGGCCACGTGGCATCTCGGTTGATACTTCGACATTACCTTAGCCACATGCTGTTACTCTCAAAATATGTCCCACAAAAATAATATACGAGAAATTATTTAAATTTAAAACTTTGAAAAACAAAAGATAAAGGATGCAAATCGAAACTTGTGTAATATCACAGTTTCCTTAAAACAGATTCACCGTCTCCCGGTGGGTGCTGGAGGTATGCCGACATCTGTCTCCCAGGATACAATGGTTGAAACCAGCTAATGCAGAAGCACCTTCTAAATAGCTTCGGCGAACTTGACAATGGTTGCACTCTCTTTAACAAGAACCAAAGAAGAAGCTAACAAAAGAAGATAGAAAAAAATTGCTTTGGTGTAAAAAATCATCTCCAACTTTTTATTTCAAAATATCATTTCATTTTTCATCACAAAATCTTTCTAAAAAATAACCTACTAAGTTGGAGGAGAAATGCCTTTATTTATACTAGTAGAGGAGAGGCTTAGCCATGAAGACTAACATCAATGGGGTCATCAAATGTCATTAACTCTAACCATTAGGACTAGAGTTATAAAGGTTCAAAACTCCAAAACCATTATATAAATCATAATGTGTATATAATGTATAAGTTTTGAGAATTAAACTAGATGGGTTACAAAATGGATACGGGTGTTGGGTCACAACCCGATCCAAGCTCAATCTCAAACACATGCACAAACTAAGCCCAGAACAGCTCAGCCCAAAGCTCAAGACTAAGTCTAAGTCTAAGTCCAAGTCCAAGTCTAAGACCAAACCCAACACATGCACAAGTACAAGTCTAGGCCAAGACTAAGTCTAAATCTAAACTCAACATTATTGATGCCCACTTTATGAGACAATTCTCATTCACAACTCAACGATTTTGGCTCATTATTTTTATATTGCAATCTTCTCAAAACCACTCGGACCCACCTCAGCCGGCAGTTAGGTCCCACTTTAATTTCGAATTAAAGTTGTCGAAAATCCATTATTTTCCAACAATTTATTTATTAATTATTGTGACAACCTAAGAGTTACACTAAACCAGTGGGGCAAGCTAAATCAATATGGTCCATAGTCTTAGGTCGAGCTAATTATCATGGTCCTTAATCTTAGGCTAGTCTATATATGATCATAAGTTTTGGGCCGAGCTAAGTTTGTTGGCTTGGAAGTTTGAATCGAGCTAGAGATGTTGATCAGGCAAACAAAGCATGCATGTTGAGCGAGCTGAACGACTTATTAGGTCATTGACCGAAGTAAAGAACCTAACCGAAGCATGAATTGGACAATTTAGCATGGTTTTTGTGTTTTTGTGTTAAGTTTCATCTTGGCAGTCTCATTAGAGGTTAGTGAGACTCAACTAAAGCGGTTGTGTAATTGACATACAATTGTATTAGAATCTTGAGTAAACTCGGTTGTCAGCTCGGGAGTTGAGCCGTTTTACTTGAATTTTGATAATAAGGGTGTTAAAGGATAGGCTTTATCCTTTAAAAGATGGAATCCTAATAGGACTCTATGAGAAAGGAATTAGAGTTCAACTAAAATTCTATCATGCAAAAGATATAAATACTCAGAGTTGACCTAAATAGAGGTAAATACATATTTAGTTTACAGAATTTATAGAGTTTTTTTTTCATGTAGATCTTGAGACTGACTTAAGCATTGGAGGAGTTTTCCAACACACACCCACCAGTTAGTTCATCGGTGTTGTTTTACAGGAAATACGACGCCATTTGGAAGAGTTCAGATTTGATCACAAAGAATACACGTGTAAAGTATTTTTTGTGCCCGTACACAACCCATAATTATTCATACAATAAACCTCACACAAAACTCATTTTAACATTGAATCACTATATGTGTGTCGCAAGTGAGTGATTTACAAATATATATTGTATAAAGAATAAAAAAAATACAGTAAATGTAACATATAATTATAAAATAAATTTTTTATGTAAATTAATAAATTTTATAATTTTTTTTCACTTACAATGGTATCATTTAATTATAAAAATTTTAAAATTTAAGACAAAATGTTTTATAATAATATAATTGTTGTCACCTCAATTAAGAAAATTTATTTATTTATATTATAATATATTGTTGCAACTTGCTACAATAATCTCTCTTTATTTCTCATGGAAGTAAACTATTTTAATTGATTATTTAACTTTTTGATTATTTTAATCTGGTTAAAATAGTTGTGTTTGGGAAAATAGTTTTTTTTTTATTTATTTTTATTTTTTTAGTTAATTTGATGGTTACGAAAGAAAAAGTGAAATGATTATAAATTAGATGTAATGTTTTGTCCTATTAGCTATTTGAATTTATTTTATCTTTATTGCCTATTTTAGCCAAAAAAAAGCAACTTGCCAAATAGTGCCTAAATAACTTGCATTAATTGCCTTATAAAAAGTCTAGGCGCATAAACGATTGAATACAGATCTGAACACAGAAATTGTGCATCCGATCACTTGTCAATTGTGATTGTCATGGTATCGTTTGCGACTGTCATTTTGATCAAAACTTATTGACTGTGACTATCATAATATCCTCCGAATGTTTGGACAATTGTCTCACCGATCATCTGGTAAAACAGTTTTCATATTTGACCCATGCGAGTAGGTTATTGTTTTAGGCCTTGAGAGCTTCAGGCATGAATGACGCGAATTTGTAGTCACCGATCGACTGGCCGGACGATCACCTGGACGACCGGGTAAAGCACTTGTCTACTACGGTTGTCACCTTGTCGAACGCAGCTGTCAACCTCTTTGTTAGACGACCGGCCAAACAAATGGTTAAACAAATTCGAGACAAATTCGTGTCTCAATATTCGAGGCCTATAGCACAACTCCTTGAGAGTAACATTGCTGATTACGGTTTCGTTTGGGAAGTGTGTTGATTTTTTGACTTTTTTAACTATTTTAATGTGGGGCTAAAAAGCCTGGTTTGGAAATGACTTTTGGCTTTTGACTTTTTTGTGAAAAAAAGAATGTAATGATTTTCGATTGGATATAATATTTTATCTTATTAGACTAAAAAATTTATTTTATTTTTTATGATTATTTTATCAAAAAAACACCCCAAAAACCACTTCCAAACATAGGCGCAACCTTACCCTTCTTCCAGCGCACGTTAGTACGTGGCTCACAAAAAACAGAGCAACCTATCCTGTAACCCACCACGCGCACTTTAGGCACACCGCCATTACAACCACTAATAATCCTACTTATTAATATTTAATTTAATAATAATCATGATTCGAACCTAATTTTACACGTTAACACAGTCTAATGTGGATTAAAACTTCGCACGAAACAATCTGGGGCCAAAATTAGCACCAAATCACAACACTCATATACATAATATATCTAGTTTTTTTTTTTTTTTTTTTTTTGTAGTTGATTTGATGGTTACGAAAGAAAAAGTGAAATGATTATAAATTAGATGTAATATTTTGTCCTATTAAATATTTGAATTTATTTTATCTTTATTGCCTATTTTAGCAAAAAAAAAAAGCAACTTGCCAAATAGTGCCTAAATAACTTGCATTAATTGCCTTATAAAAAGTCTAGGCGCATAAACGATTGAATACAGATCTGAACACAAAAATTGTGCATCCGATCACTTGTCAATTGTGATTGTCATGACATCGTTTGCGACTGTCATTTTGATCAAAACTTATTGACTGTGACTATCATAATATCCTCCGAATGTTTGGACAATTGTCTCACCGATCGTCTGGTAAAACAGTTTTCATATTTGACCCATGCGAGTAGGTTATTATTTTAGGCCTCGAGAGCTTCAGGCATGAATGACGCGAATTTGTGGTCATTGATCGAATGGCCGGATGATCACCCGGACGACCGGGTGAAGCACTTGTCTACTGCGGTTGTCACCTTGTCGAACGCAGCTGTCAACCTCTTTACCAGACGACCGGCCAAACAAATGGTTAAACAAATTCGAGACAAATTCGTATCTTAATATTCGAGACCTATAGCACGACTCCTTGAGAGTAACATTGCTGATTACAGTTTCGTTTGGGAAATGGGTTGACTTTTTGACTTTTTTAACTATTTTAACATGGGGTTAAAAAGTCTGGTTTGGGAAGGACTTTTGGCTTTTGAATTTTTTGTGAAAAAAAGAATGTAATGATTTTTGGTTGAATGTGATATTTTATCTTATTAGACTAAAAAATTTATTTTGTTTTTTGTGACTATTTTATCAAAAAAACACCCCAAAAACCACTACCCAAACATAAGCGCAACCTTACCCTTCTTCCAGCGCACGTTAGTACGTGGCTCACAAAAAACAGAGCAACCTATCCTGTAACCCACCACGCGCACTTTAGGCACACCGCCATTACAACCACTAATAATCCTACTTATTAATATTTAATTTAATAATAATCATGATTCGAACCTAATTTTACACGTTAACACAGTCTAATGTGGATTAAAACTTCGCACGAAACAATCTGGGGCCAAAATTAGCACCAAATCACAACACTCATATACATAATATATCTTTTTCTTAATTTTTTGATTTTACTTTACTATATTTCTCATCATCTGAGATCTTCTTCTATATCTTGAGACAAAAAGCACATCATTTGTCGAACCCAAAAGAAGAAAGCGGTTGATTGATGATACGATCAATCGATTGATCCATTAGAGGCAATCAAGAAACATTCTTTGAATATCAAAGAGAGAGAGAGATAGATACAGATATAGAAATATATATATATATATATATAGAGAGAGAGAGAGAGAGAGAGAGAGAGATGATGGGATGGAGACGAAGTTAACGAAGGAAGAAAAGAAAGATGGCGAGGGGTGGGGGTGAGTGGGGGTATAATGGGAGAGGGAAATGGTGTTCGTACAAGCGAACCACTCTCATCGTATGCTCAATCAACATTGGCGTTGCTCTCTATGTTCTTCACTCTTTGTACACTTCGCTTTACATCTATTCTTATAACGATTCACAAAACGGTAAGTGTTCTTCCAGCTCCACACCTAGTTTTTATTTTGATTTCTCCAACCCATTTCCTAATTGGGGCTTTTTCATATACCCAATTCCCCATTTATAATTATTATTTTTTTCTAATAGGAGTTTCTTGTATACAGTTGTAAAGTACACCCCAGATCAGATTAGGAAAATGGAAGATTCAATTCGAATACGAAAAGCATCCGAACCTGTAGAGCTAATTAAATTGGTAAAGACCCATATTAGGTTTCACCGAATCTGTGTACCATGTTTTGGAATTTTTGTGATAAGTTTAATTGGATTGATAAAATATAGTGTAATGAGGAACATTTTGTTGTGATAAAAGGTAAAAGAAATCAAGAAGGAATTTTTAAGTGAACAAAGCCCCGTCAAATTGCCGCAGCACTTGAAACAGAAGATAACGGATGAGATCATTGGAAGGCTGAGGGGCTTGAGAGCCGGTGCCAATGTGAGCGAGCAGCGAGGTCAGTACATATTACTTAAACAAGTAACTTTACCAATTCTGTTCATTCTTTGCCTGCATTGTGATGTTAGTGTTAATTCATATTTGGTCCTCTATTCTTAAGCCTGTTACAATTGTCTATACTACACTATATCATCTTTTTCTACTTTAATTCTGCTTGGAAAGTTGCAATATAGAACAAGATTTTAAACATTGTCTCTTTTACACTTTGGCTGTTTCTTGAAAATAAAACTTATTTATGGAAGTTTATGGGGACTTTAAGCCATGTTACTTTGAACCTGCTTGCTTATTTAACATTGACTGGCATTAGAGTTGATGCCAACAACGACAATATTTTGTACAAGGTGGAAGTCTAATTCTGTTGTAAGTTTTCATAGTTTTTACTTAGTTTGATTAAGTGGGCAAATAGTCAAGTGCCTTAGATTTTGTTGAGCTGTAAATTGTTAAAAGTTGTGGTAATGTTAAGCATATAGCAGTGAGTTATATAGTGGATGTATTAAACATTGGCAGTGCAACTTGATGAATGAGTGAAAGATTATAAACTGATTGTTTCCAATTCACTATCACATAGTTGGATCTTTTTCTATTTTGTTTAAGGTTGAATTTAATTTTGACAGAAAACCTGCTTCTTTGGAAGCCTATATATATGATGGGAAACTCCTAAAACTTTGGAAATCCATTTTCTATGACCTAGGAAGCATAGATGCGGACACAAAACATGGGTATATACAGTAATTTTCAAAAAATAGAGACAAGACGATAGATAAAATATATGTTTTAGATACATAATAATAATAATAATAATAATAATAATAATAATAATAATTACATTTATTTGTTATATATATATACATTTTATTATATCAAAACAATTAGAGAGATTTTTCCCCCATCCTATATATTAGAAAAGAAGTGTTAATGAAAAGTGTTAATGGCTATCTTGAAATGCCCTAAACAAATTGGAAGTTTTAGGCTTCGGACTTAGGAATTAATAGGTATGAATTCACATTATTTTGATTTTAATCATTGACTTGAGATATTTTCTTCAAATTTGTGTTGTGTTTTGTGTATTTAAGTGATGGGCACACACATCCTACAAGTATTTGAAGCATGTTTGGTTCTAATTTTTAAAAATAAGACACATTTCAGGGGCATGCCCAATATGTATCAAACATAACGCAATCCTTTCTTAATGTGATTCTTATCTGACACTTTCTTGAAAGAATATGTGATTCTTACCCTATGCTTGCAGATCGAAAAAATTGTTAGCTATGTTGTCTGATACAAATGGTTATGCATTGTAAAGTGATCTTTTCATCTACAAAATATTTTCAGAACTTGTTTTAGTTAATGGTTAACAAATTAGCATAGTTTATTTAGGCATTTGGTTGTGTTGGTTGTTTTAAAATTTTTAAGAGCAAACACGAAACAGGTTTCCATTTATTTTCTTTTATGATAACAAAAGAACATGTTGATACTTATGGTGTGTTGTGCTTGGATTGAGAAGAGAAAAAAAAAACCTGATTTTTTGTTTGGTTAGGATGCGTCTAATTGCTATTTTTGAACAAAGGCTCCAATTTCCAAGTAGGGAAAAAAGATTTTTGTGAGTGCAACCAATTATCTAATTTATTTGATACGTGCACCCAACAAAAATTATAGAGGTAAGGTATATATAGGGGAGAGAGAATTTAAGAAAGAAGAATAAAAGTAAAGAACCTAAGATAAATGATTAGACCCATAAAGATTATAATAATAACAGAGAACTTATGAAACAAAAATAAGTATAATCAGAGAGAAACTCATCTAAATCAACGATTTCTATGGTCTATGATTGATGGAGTAATGCTAAGGACCCCAAATGTTTTATCAACATTTCTACTAAATGTCTAACATGGGTGTGAGACCCACATGGGACTCACATAGTGTGGGTCCTACACCCATATGAGACATTTGATAGAAATGTTGATAAAACATTTGGGGTCCTATCATTTTTTCTTATTGATGGGTCATGGTGTCAAGTGTGGATACATGGGTGTGAGTCAAAGGGCACTCACTTTATACAAATAAATCAAAAGTTGGGTGCAAGCATAGACAATCTCCAAACACTCCATATAGATAGGATAGGAAAGCTATGGCCTCTTAGGAATTTGAATATATGTATTATTTAGAGTAATGTATAGCATTTTATTTGGTTAAGAACCCCACTTCGACACTCCCTGCCACCAACCAAAAGAAAGTTACCAACAAGAAAATAAAGAAAAAGGTGAGTAAGCATAAAGAAAAAGTAAACTATAGAAGGAAAAAGGTACCAACAAGTTGATTTTGTTCTGGACATGATATGAGTAAGCATCAATCTTTTAATTGCCGCGAAACAAAGACTGGAGGACATTCTGATGCTTAAGTCAGCGAAGGTCTTCAAATATAAATGACAGTGTTCTTGTGTTTTTTTGTATCACATACCTTGGCCTATGAGGTTGTAGGTCTATTTGTAATGTGAGGATCCTTGCTATGTAAGTATGCTTGTTGCCCAAGTCCCATCGTTTAGAGATTTCCCTTAATGATAAGATATGGTGCACATCTTTTTTTGATAATCTAGGGTATCTCACGCCTTGCCCAGCCCAATTGGGTCTAAGTTACCTCATATCTGAACAATCGAGAACTAATCCTTGGAGGCACTAAAGTTAAAGACCAGGCAAACCTCTAGTGGCCACATCTTATTGGTAAGTCTTGTTGGAATAAGTTTCTTATGTTTGAGGAAACTTCCTTATCCCTCATCTCTTTAATGAGGTTGTGTCCATATAGGTTATTGAATTGTTATTTTGATGGTGTTGACATGCCACGTGGTGGCTCTCATTAGAATTATTGTTAGCTTAGCCAGCGTGGGATCCAAGCTATTTCTTTTATTATTTTTCCTTCCTCACAAACAACTAATAATAATAATTAAAAAACCATGTTAATGAATCATACTCTATGTGGTGGTGGTGGTTTGGATTATTAATTATTTCACTTTTCTTAAGAGTGTGTTAAGAGCTGCCTTGAAATCTAAACACCTTCAATGTATCCATCAAAGGAGATGCTGCTGCCTTGTTAATGTAGGACCCACAAGAAGATAATAAATTGATTATTACTATTAAATGGTTATTTTTGTTAGTAGCCTTTGATTTAATGTTGCTCTATTTTCCTTCTATTAGGACTTTTAATAACTTTTGTGATATGATTTGAGTCTTACTAGGTATTTATGTTGGGTGGGATTAGTTTGAGAAGGTTTCCATGAGTTTTTAGGATTGTCTACAACCTATAAATAGGAGTTATCCCTCTTGATCCAACTGCACCAATGTTCAAACCTCAGGGTTCATATCAAGGAGATGCATTGGGTAAATATGTTTAGTCACCTGCCTTGGTCAACATTCTCTGTCTTCTTGTAGACGCCTCTCTCTCTCTCTCTCTCTCTCTCTCGGTCAAGGTGAGTTCTATGTGGAACCTTGATGAAGGGTCATGAGTCGGCCGGACTCCCCATGATTGAGGCACCACCCCAAGAGGAGGTTACCGAGCCTTATTCCTCAACTAAATTGGCATGACAAGTATCAGAAGATATGCACTTGAGACGGTGAGCCACTAAGCCGAGCATGCCAAGCGAAGCGGCCTAAGAGTTGCCTCTTGATGGCTGCCTCACAAAGGATGACTACCTCATGGAGAGGTACTATGGTGATGACTTGGGAAGCCATGTCGGAGATCCAGATGCAGGGGGTTGGATCTCAGATGGACCATCTAAAAGTAGGTGGTTGGATCTCAGATGGACTATCTGAACCTGTCAAATTTTGTTGAAGTTGAACTTGACTTGTTGCAATACGACATTCTAACTAATATGTTTGAGGTTTGCATAAACAACATCAATCTAATCAGTATCATGTGGTTTGGCAAATCTCATGATTTAGGCGGATAAGGCATGTTTGGATTATTATTATTTTTTAAATTCAACTCCGAATAAACCACAGGGAATTGCTTGTAAAGAACACCTTAATTTTGTTGATATCCTGCATTCAGGTGATCATTTTAAAAATCCTGCTAATAGAACCCTTCCAAAGTTGAGTTTGTCCATCTTCACAAGAATTTCATTTTTGGTCTTCATCTTAGCGAATTTGGATTATGAAAATGTCCCCTATTTTGAATTTGCATGATCAAAAGAATGGAATCTGTTTAGGCAATGACGAGAGATGATCCTTCTTCAATTGTCATTGGAGGTGGTAGTGGTGTAGTGGGTTAGGTTTAGTGGGTGAAGTAGGTGATAGGTTTTAACAGTATGCTTGTTGCCCAAGTCCCATCTTTTAGAGATTTCCCTTAATGATAAGATATGGTGCACATCTTTTTTGATAATCCAGGGTATCTCTCGCGCCTTGCCCAGCCCAATTGGGTCCGAGTTACCTCATATGTGAACAATCGAGAACTAATCCTTGGAGGCACTAAAGTTAAAGACCAGGCAAACCTCTAGTGGCCACATCTTATTGGTAAGTCTTGTTGGAATAAGTTTCTTATGTTTGAGGAAACTTCCTTATCCCTCATCTCTTTAATGAGGTTGTGTCCATATAGGTTACTGAATTGTTATTTTGATGGTGTTGACATGCCACGTGGTGGCTCTCATTAGAATTATTGTTAGCTTAGCCAGCGTGGGATCCAAGCTATTTCTTTTATTATTTTTCCTTCCTCACAAACAACTAATAATAATAATTAAAAAACCATGTTAATGAATCATACTCTATGTGGTGGTGGTGGTTTGGATTATTAATTATTTCACTCTTCTTAAGAGTGTGTTAAGAGCTGCCTTGAAATCTAAACACCTTCAATGTATCCATCAAAGGAGATGCTGCTGCCTTGTTAATGTAGGACCCACAAGAAGATAATAAATTGATTATTACTATTAAATGGTTATTTTTGTTAGGAGCCTTTGATTTAATGTTGCTCTATTTTCTTTCTACTAGGACTTTTAATAGCTTTTGTGATACAATTTGAGTCTTACTAGGTATTTATGTTGGGTGGGATTAGTTTGAGAAGGTTTCCATGAGTTTTTAGGATTGTCTACAACTACAACCTATAAATAGGAGTTATCCTTCTTGATCCAACTGCACCAATGTTCTCTTGATCCAACTGCACCAATGTTCAAACCTCAGGGTTCATATCAAGGAGATGCATTGGGTAAATATGTTTAGTCACCTGCCTTGGTCAACATTCTCTGTCTTCTTGTAGACGCCTCTCTCTCTCTCTCTCTCTCGGTCAAGGTGAGTTCTATGTGGAACCTTGATGAAGGGTCATGAGTCGGCCGGACTCCCCATGATTGAGGCACCACCCCAAGAGGAGGTTCCTGAGCCCTGTTCCTCAACTAAATTGGCATGACAAGTATCAGAAGATATGCACTTGAGACGGTGAGCCACTAAGCCGACCATGCCAAGCGAAGCGGCCTAAGAGTTGCCTCTTGATGGCTGCCTCACAAAGGATGACTACCTCATGGAGAGGTACTATGGCGATGACTTGGGAAGCCATGTCGGAGATCCAGATGCATTGGGGGTTGGATCTCAGATGGAACATCTAAAAGTAGGTGGTTGGATCTCAGATGGACTATCCGAACCTGTCAAATTTTGTTGAAGTTGAACTGGACTTGTTGCAATGTGACATTCTAACTAATATGTTTGAGGTTTGCATAAACAACATCAATCTAATCAGTATCATGTGGTTTGGCAACTCTCGTGATTTAGGTGGATATTGCATGTTTGGATTATTATTATTAATTCAACTCCAAATAAACCACAGGGAATTGCTTGTAAAGAACACCTTAATTTTGTTGATATCCTGCATTCAGGTGATCATTTTAAAAATCCTGCTAATAGAACCCTTCCAAAGTTGAATTTGTCCATCTTCACAAGAATTTCATTTTTGGTCTTCATCTTAGCGAATTTGGATTATGAAAATGTCCCTTATTTTGAATTTGCATGATCAAAAGAATGGAATCTGTTTAGGCAATGACGAGAGATGATCCTTCTTCAATTGTCATTGCCTCTTCTCTTGTAACCAAGTCTATCAGGACCTTTTTCCCTGGATATTGCGAAAAACATTTTTTTTATGCTATGGGATGAAGTGATTGATGTTAAAGCTCATGGATATTATATTGCCCTTAATTATAATGTTTTATGTCCACTATTTTTGTGATACATTTGTATTGAACATTTGACGATCTTTGGTTGGTTGCTGCATCCTTGCAAATTGTCAATGATTCGTAAGCTTCCTTAATTATTATGTTTTATTTCTTGACTAATGGACACATTCTTATCTGATATTTGATTATCAATTGGTGGGTTCAGTATGTATTTGGTTTTGATTTGATGTCTACTTGAAGATACATTGGCATTTTTAATTGTTTCATGGACAAACGAGTCTTTAGATCTGATCACACTCTGTCTCTGTAGTGTTGCTTTACATTTACTACACACTGAAAATCTTATTACTAGAATTACCAATGCCACATCACACAGAAAGTAGCATTGGTTATCCTTAGGTACATTTCAATATACTTTGGGTTTGATTGAGTTCTCAGAAGTTGTTTTCTGATTTTTTTATTTTTTACTTTTTATTTTTTTTGGTTGAAAAATTAGAAACTAGTTTGACAAAACTAATCACTACAAAAGATATTTTTTTGAATTTTTAAAAATTATTTCCTTCCAACTAAAAAGAAAACTATATGAAATTAATGATGAGTGTTTTTTTTTTTTTTTTTCTTTTTTCACCAAAATATTTTTTCAAAATTTTCTAGAAAACTTACTCTGAAAACTCAACCAAATAGTATAGGGTAGTGGGAAATTATTTCTTGTTGAAGTAATGGCAGGGGTTGGATTTGGGTCATGAATCTAGTTACTCTAGACTTGATAATGTAGTGCTTTTATATATATGGTTGATTCAAAAGGTATTTCCTTAAATTCATATTTACTATGAAGTCAACAACAAATTTGTAGTTGTTCTTAAATAAATTTGGAACCAAATGGGTTGTGTGTTGGAGCTAGAGCACAATCTTATTGCTAGTTTTTTCCCTGGTAATTCCTCGTTATGGATGGTGCACTGGTGCACCAGTGTAGTATTTTCTGCCAATCTGAAGGGGGGTATTATCTCTGTGTCTACCACGGGATCTTCCAAGGAATGTATTGGAAAAACCAAACCAACCCGACCAGACCCTTTGGTTCTCGGGTTTTCTGGGTATTTTGTGCACCCTTAATGATAATAATGTGAAAAAACAGTTGTAGTGAATTGTGTAATCATTTATCTCACAATCTTTTTGTTGTCTATAATATTAGCTCCCCTTATCTTTCCTGATATCCTATTGATATTGTTTTCTATGACAGAAGCTGTTGAAAGCTGGCGCAAGGAAAAACTAAAAGAAGCAAAACAACTAACTCTTGGAAAGACCTTGAGCTCAACTGTTCCGCCAAAGGAAGCTGGTAGAATCTCCTCTCTTATCATATCCATGTTTGGAAGAGTTATTTATTTATTTATTTTTGTTTTTATGGGTTTGAAGACTATTTGGCCTATAGGAAATATTTAAAATCCATCAGTAAGAATTTAAGGCGCTTTTGTGACAATTTTTGTCTAGAGGGATCATTGTTACTTAGAATTTCAAGGGGATATGCTTGTAGGGACGCTTGCAAGAGCTTTAGAGTCCGGTTGGAGTCAGCTGTCAAACGAAATTGGTCTTTGGATACCAGTTGAAATCAATAATGAGGAACATGATGACAAACCGGAGGGTGCAACAGATTTCGGTAATAAATCAATATTTATTTTGCTAGTTTGAAGAATTGATCTCCAATATATGCCCTATTTTGAAAGGGCAAAAATTAGATTGTATTGTTTTCTTGAATTGATATTTACTGTGGCATGTATGTTCTCTCCAGATGATGAAATTTTAGCTGGAAGGCAACTTCCTCCTGAATGCCACCCTGAACTTCATACAGATTATGATGGTGCTGCGGTCAGATGGGGCCTTACCCACCGTAAAGAAAGTGCATATGACTGTTGTCAGGCTTGCTTGGATCATTCAAAACGTGCCAGACCAGGCGAAAAGAAATGCAATATATGGGTATATTGCCCATCAGAGACAGGGTGCTATTCCCCCGACATTTATGAGCACAAACATATGGAGTGCTGGCTCAAATATGTAAGCATTGGCGTACCTTCTTATGAAGTTATTAAGTTCTCTTTTTTAAATAAAACCTAATAATTAGAAGTAAAAGCTAAAAGCACTGTTGCTCCTGCTTTATTTAGGCTATTTTGCCTCACAAGTTGTAAATAAAAGCTGCACTAAACACTCGGGCACAAATTTTCATAATAAAGGAATGCTATAAGCAGCCCCACAAGTTTCACCAAACAAGGCCGACCTATTTTGCAATTTAACATTAATTTCATCTGAATTTTTGGCTGTTCTTGCTCTGATCTTTATAACACAGGCGGAAAAACCCAGAGTGAATTTCAAAGACAAGTATTCGGAATCTTATAGGAACTCCCACCCAAATGTGCCCGTGATTGTTCCATGGGTCTCTGGTGTTGTTACTGCATAATTGGTTTCTGTCAACAATTGACAGCGAACTTGAAGACGGTAGAGTTAGAAACTGTTAACTGTGTTGTGGAAACTTTACAAATACTACCTACATGAAGCCCCTCTGTAATTGTAATCTCTAGACTCGCCATATGCTCATATATCAGTTGGGGCTTTCAACATTTGTCTTTTTTGTTGTTTCACTCTTTTTGATGTTGGTCGGATTTTGTTGATGATTGATTCATTGTGGTGGGTTTGGTGCCGCTGCTTTGAAGTTGAAGTCCGGTGCTAAACTGAGAAAAAAGGGGCTTTATAATAGTCAGATGTGCAATTGTGCAAATGCTTGTGCCCCAAGGATGTAATATGATAAATTGTTTCAATATATTATTGGTATTGTCAACTTATAAGCATCGCTCATTCTCTCTCTCTCTCTCTCTCTCTTCAAATATTTTTAACTATCTCGGCCATGCATGATTGTTAGAGCATTTGGTTTTTGGCAAAGCTAATGCAACGAGTATTCAATAATTCAAACAATATTGATTTTAACATTTTCCTTTATCTTGACTATGTTTGATTCTTTGAATTTTTGTTTCAAATTTTATTTTGATTCTTTATCTTCTAATTGCAGTAGTTAAGTCCTAATACTTTAATCCTTATATTTTATTGTGGTTGTCAATTTCTCATCTTTATGGTTTGATATGAAAGTTGAAACATAAATAATTATAATGAATTTTGAGTAAAAATTAAAAGGAGAAAAGTATTTTTTTAATAAAAGTTTTTTCTCTAATATTTTAAAAATGTGCTTACATTGTTTACATGAGTCTAAATTTTAACTGCAAATGATAAGAGGAAGATTATATTAAAATACACTTAAAATTTAATAACTTATTTATTATAATTAAAAACTTGATGATTCAAAACTAAATTTTAAAGATGAAATTTGGAATCCTACTTTTGATAAATATAAATAATAGAGCATGTCACCTGTGGGACGTCTGGCAGTTTTGAATAAGTCTAAAATAATTTAGTCAAAACAATTATGAGGTTGAAATTAAAACTTGAACTTAGGTCTTTTGTTCAGAAATTTATAAGATAGCATATTTTAACTTCATCATCAGGTGTTTGGAAGGAAGCATCCAAGTCTTAATATCGGTTAAGATAGGACATCTACACCATCATTTGATAATAAATAAAGATTTCACTGAGCAGCTTTCCTTCAATCTTAGATCAGTCTGGAGGCTGTTGTTGGGCCCGTGGGAGCCCACTACTTGTCCTGTTTTGATAATCTGAACCGTTTAATGTGTAAAACTTGTCGAGTATTGTATGACTGTAAACAATCATGTTAATCAGATATCGATAGTTATCTCATCAAATCATTTTTCTGTCAACCGTTAATTCGTTCAACATCTATTTTGTTTTGTACAAAACTGATTTGATTACATAACTATCAATATCCGATCAACATGATTTTTTATAAACATATAATACTCGATGAGTTTTACACATTAACGGTTCAGATTATAGAAATAGGATCCACAGTAAACCTCTACAAGTCCAATAATATCCTCCAATCTGACCTAAAACAAGAGGGAAGCGACACCCTCTTCAAAATCCCACCTCAATTATAATTACAATAATTTTTCGTTATTGTTTTGTAATATTTTTACCTAAATCCAAATTTCTGCAATTTACCCCAAAACTTATCAATATTATAAAAATACCCAATTTAAAAAACTAGGTCAATTTTTCAGCCTCTCTCTTCCGTCGTCCGTCTTCTTCTTCGTCTTTCATCGATCGTGACGAAGATCTCAGCCGCCGGTACTCCCAGCAGCTGATCGCAGCTGTCGGGTATTGCCTAGCTTCTTCTTGAATTCTAGAATTAAAATTTGACGAGCTTGATTGTGACCTCTCTGTTTCTTGTTTTAATGTTAATTTTGCTTTTGGGTTTGATTGTAAAAAATTATTGAATGATTTTTCTGTTCTTTATAAATTGATTCATTCTGGGAAAAAGAATGTCTTGCGATTTGTGGATCAATATAAATTGATTTTTTTGTTGTTCCCTCAACAATCAAAAACCATTTTTAGGCTAGTCATTAAGTTGTTTATTTATGCTTACATCTTTGTTTATTTGTGTTTTGTGCTTTCTCTGTTTTTTATTTTAATTTTTTCTTAGGGTTGTGTTTGGTTCATGGATTTGAAGAGAGATTTGAAAAGGAAAAGAGATAAGGTAGGTTGAATGTGAATGAAATCTCCCAAAATCCATGAACCAAACACAAACAGACTAAAAGAAAAGAAAACTGAAATGGATGGGTGGACGGGGCAGAGATGGAAAATGAATTGTTTTAAGAATCTTCTATGGAAGTGGATAGGTTGTTCAATATGGTTTTTGGTTTGGAATCCTTTTGAGCTCAAATCATGTGTTATGCTTGTGAATTATAATAGTTAGCTTAGCGGTGTGCGATAGCTAGGCAGGTAGCTTCAATTTGGAAACTCATGGCTCGCCTAGCAAAATTGTGATGATTGTTCCCAAAATGCAGTGAATTCTACAATTGCTTTTGCTTCATTTGGGTCGTGGATTTCGTGAGGGAAAAGAGACAAATGAAAGCATTTTTCCTGTTTAGGTATCATGGAAAAGAAGAAGCAGATAACAAAATGGAGAATTTTTACTTTGGATGTCATTTCTCTTATTTTTCATGATTTCCAATAATTTTAGAGAATTTTTAGTATTTTAAGTAGTAGGGAAAATACCCAAGGAAACCGGTTTCCTCATTTTCTTTTCCTTTTCCATTTCTGTTACAATTTCCCAACACCAATCAGCACATTACAGCTTTAGTGTGTGTGTGTGTGTGTTTTGAAGTTATTGCTTCCTTTGGTACTGTTGAACTGTTTATTGTTCTTGGAAAGTCTTGAACTGCTTGTCTCTCAATTTGTCTTCAATTGCTTGCCTTGGGATGTTAATATTGTTGTTAGAATTATAATATTGTTCTCATCAGTACTTTATTTAAGATTTAGTTATTTTAATTTTTAGTGCAGTTCCTTTATGTATATTTCAAAAAAAAAAAAAAAAAACTAAATGTGAAATGCTTTGTGCATTTGCAGTGGAAGTGGTTTGTTACAAGCTACTTGCAATTTTCAACCATGCTTTTAGGCAAAAAATTGATTGGTAAAACCCATTATGACATTCTAGGTGTGAGGGAAGATGCAAACTATGAAGAAATCCGTACAAGCTATCGGTCCGCCATCCTCGATTCCCATCCAGATAAATTGCAAAAGACATCCGAGACTTCCTTTCCCAACCATGAGTCGGGAAATAGATTTCTAGAGGTGCAGAGGGCTTGGGAAATCCTCAGCAACTCAAAGTCGCGCGTGGCTTATGATAGTGAGTTACAAGCATCATGGCATGATTTTGTAGCTGCAGAAGATGTTGGCTTAGAGGATTTGATGGTTGAAAATACTGGTGAATTTTTGGAGCTCTTTTACCAGTGTCGATGTGGTGACTACTTCTCCATTGATTCTTCTGAGTTGGAGGAGATGGGGTATCAATTGTTGAGGGATGGGAGTAAGATCTCTTTACATATATCAGATGCTACTTTGCCTTCATCAATTATTCTTTCTTGTGGTTCTTGCTCTCTACAAGTCCGTTTGTTGATTAATGCAGATATTAAGCTTCAAACCAACAATCATCTGTAATATAGGATATAGGTTTTGCTTAATTTATTTTGGCTGATGATCGTTTCTTATCAATGATCTAACAGTCTATTTTTTGTTGTCTCTTTTCAAATGGCAGAGTAGGTGTTTTGAGGCTGTCTTTCAGTTTGGGAAAAACATCCAAAAACTGGAAATGCATTGGTGCTGATATTTTGCCAAAATTTTTAGTATTTGGCTGTCTATACGGGTTTTGATGTAGGCAATTCTGTGGGTTGTTTCTTTAAGAATATTGTTTGTTATTTGTTCACGTATATAGACACAGATCAGTGTAATGATTATTCTTTCTTCTTCTTCTTCCTTTTTATTTTTTTTTTCTTCCTTTTTTTCTAATGAATTTGGTTTTAGTTTGGGGCTGCCTTTTTTTCACAAGGTGAGACCTACCCATTTGAGATTGCGTGTTGTGGATCCTTCTAAATTGTGGATTAGAAATAATTGTCTACATTTGGACCGGCTAAGAGAACATCAGAAAACAATAAAGATATGAATCAACATTAGATAAAAATGTCCTGAAATGAAAAAAACGATTGAACCGTTAACCAGTCTGGACTGAATCAATTTGTATAATTTGATATGGTTTTGTGAATGATAGGTTTTTAAAAGTGGCAACCGTAGGCCACGCTTCATGTATGCAATGGTTTTAGTACTTAAGAGTGTAGTGATATTGTTGCAGTTTTCCTAGAATGTATACCAAACAACCATTTTGTTACTTTCTGATCTTTTAGATTAAACTTCTATTGAGGGAGTATTATTATTATTTTTATGAAATTTGTGGTGTAGAAGTGATGGTTTGGTGCCACGTCTAGTTTACTCTTATCTTAAGCTTTAAGTGAAACTCAAAATCTCCAAATGTGGCACCTCAAACAGGCATAGTAAAATAGCAACAAATGCATACATCAACTTGTCACTTTGATGAGGTGTAAATGAATCAAGTTGTTTATAAGCTCATTTCATTAAATAAATAAACAAGTTCGAATTATTTAAATTTGTTTAATAAATGAGCACAACTTAAATAAATTCAGTTCATTTATTATTTATTTAAATAATAAAATAAATATATAAATAATATCTAAAAAATTTCTCATTGTCAAAATTCAAGCCGAGCTTGAACATGCTTAATATTAATGAGCTAAGCCAAAAGTTTAATTAATTGTCAAGTTGTGTTTGAATGTGATTTTCAAGCTCGATAAACAAATGAGCTGAGTTCAAACTCTACAAAATTTAGATCGGCTCGACTTTACAAAAGTCTGTTTTCTCTATTCTGATAACGATCAGATGCTGAAGTGAAATTTAGAAGTAATTTGTTAAAACTTTCTTATCCTGTTTCAACGTAGTCTTTACCCCAAAGGATAGAAGTGCAGAATATTTGGATAAGCTGAGAGGCCACTATCGCACGAAAGAGTTCAATTTTCACATCAAACCAAACATGAATTATAAATATTCACTTCTATACATAATAATATCATTCTAACCCACAAACCCATCAATAATTTCCACCCAACTCTCTCCAACAATGAGCTTACTTTATCATGAGGAGCCACCAAATCCCACTAGCAGATGCAAATTCCTCACCTCAACCCTCAAGGATGCTTTTGCCAAGTGCCAAACGTGCCGTGGACGGATTTCTTCAAGAAACGCGGATGAAGAGGATTCAGGGAGCAATGCGGATGATGATCAAGAAGTAGTTTCTAAAATCCCAAAGGCTCATTCAAGTTCAAGATCATTTTTCTGGCAACATACTTGTCTTTTTTTGGGTTAAAATCTTACTGGGTATGATCTTTCTTTCAGGTAGTTGTTTCAGAGATTCGAAGCAGAGCAATGGAAGCAAAAACAAGACGTAAAGCCAGCTTTTCGATGGATAGCTTTAACTGGATCATCTCTCCAAGTACCGGAGAATTGTTCACAGCTCCAAATGCAATGCAAAAAAATGAGGACAGTGATCATGAAGAAAAAGAGGACTTCTTCTCTGTTGGCAGTTGTCTCTCTCGCTGCTCGACTGTTAGAAGTGTGGAAGAATTTTTTTCTGTCAAGACACAATTTTCTCGGTGTTCAAGCTTAAGCAGGCTTGATTGTCGCGATTTCAGGACCTTTGTCGTTCAGGAGTTCTGGCATGGCATTGATTATCAAGAATTGTTGCGTCGGCGCTCAATTATTCAAGAGTTTTGTCACTGTAAGGGGTGGCCTTTTGGTCTCTGCCGGAAGGCTCTACTGCTTCCACCTCTGCCCAAATCTCCATCGGAGTCATGGTCATGGCGTAAAGGTGCTAGACTGGTGAAGCTACCTTGATGAAATGATGTTTTCCTGTAGTTCTTGACTGCAAAATAATGTGAGAATAAAAAGTGCATTTAGTGTTGACATTAATGTAATAATGCATAAAAGAAGATTTGAGTTGCAACTGAAAAAGGAATATACCTTTCCATTGCTAATGAGCAGTTTCATCCACTTATCTCTTATTTGTTGAAGAGATGAGTGCTTTGGTGAGTGCATAATAGTACTAAAAAGTCTAAAATCATCTTGTGGAAAATGTCATCATCATCCATTATTATGTCAACAAAGCTATGTTTATATAATTTCGACAAATATACATCCAACTGAAACTTGCAAATAGCATCTGATCAAATTTTTTTAAAGTGAATGTGTAATTTGAAGCTTTTTAAGGCGTATGCCTTGAGATATCAAGGCGTGAGCATTTTAATTTTAAAATTTAATATTTAATAAAAAAATTAAATATTTTAAAAAATGTTAAAAAATTAAATTAAAAAATTTAAATACTTTTCTCCTCAAAGCATTGAATATTGCACTGTAGAAAAAAAAAAAATTGCCTTCATTGAAAGTGAAATTAATATTCTTAGTTTTGATAATTGAGTTTCTCACTTGAGTATTAACTTTGTGTTTTTTTCTTGATTGATCGTTTACTACTATAAAATATAATTGTAAAAAGAATTATGTTTTTTTTTTGCCTTTTTATGTTTAAACCATGTTTAACAATAGCCTAATGCAACCTGCACTACAAGAAAAGGGGTCAAACAACACGGAAGCAATAGCGACGGCAACTTATACCATGTTTAAACCATGATTTTTTGCGACGGCAACTTATACCGTCGCAAATAAAGGCGTTAGCGACGGCGTTTGTCCCGTCGGTAATAAAACCACGCGGATAGTTAGTAAATGCCGAATTATTTGCGACGACGTTTTTTACCGTCGCAAAAAATATTAGTTTTGAGACGGCATATGTTTGTTGTCGCAAACAGTGGCCATTTGGGACGGCAAACTTCCGTCGCAAAAAGGGGCTTATTAAAACGGCGCCATTTTATGATGTAATTAGCAACCATTGGCGACGGTGTAAAACGAACCGTCGCAAAAAGTAAAAAAAAAAAAAAATTACCCCCGCCCTTCCCTTTCATCTTGCCGCTTGATGATTTCAGCCAAATCCCTAATTCTTCGAAACATTTTTTTTCCCCCAAATTCCTCAAACAACCTACGAAGGCGAACGGCTCTCTGTAGCGGTGGTGCGGTGGTGCGGCGGTGCGGCGGCGACGACAACGGCTCTGGTTGGTCTGGCGACGACAACGGCTCTCTCTGCGTATGCTCTCTCTCTCCCTCTCTCTCTCTTTCTCTCTCTCTCTCTGTATATATATATATAGATGAATGTATATTTGCTTTAGCCTCTTGGCTCGTAGTTTTTTGATAATCACAATTGAAGTATTCCATCTAGGAATTGCTTTTCACGTTAAAATCATTTATGTCCAGATTATTGATTGCTAAGCTTAGATCTAAATCGATTTTTTTCCTTGTGTGAATTGATTAAAATTACTCTTAGCTTGTTGAGTATTGTTGTTGTGTTGCCATCCATATGCTTGTAATTGGAATTAGACATAATCACAAATCACAATCTCAGAACTTTGGGTTTTGATTCTTTACCAACATGACAGCTACCAAAACTAATTTAGATCTCCAATGTTACTATACCAAACCAAAATCTGCCTAATTGTTTAAGCAGGCAACAGAAGCCCAGAAACCATCAAATTACAATAAGGGTTTAATTGTCAACCACCAAAGGAGATAGCCGTGGGAGTGGAAGCTCAATCCAACTCGGTTCGGTGAGTAAGTGGCTCTGTGAGGGCAAGGCAATCCTCATCCACATTTGTTCTTGATTTTTGCTTGCTAGGATCCTGGTAAGACTGGAATCAAACTATGACTCAAGTCTGTCTTGAAGAAGCGTCTATGGTTGCCTTGCTTTGTAGGGTCCGCAATGGATAGGGGCTCCTCTTTGGTCATCATGGCCTAGTAGTATTTCTAGGGATGGTTGCCAAAATAAAGGACCTAATAAAGGAGATCAAAGAGAATTGGAACAGCAAGCAAAACCTTATGCTCTTAAAGCTGGTTTGAATCATGAATATAAGTAGAGATTTGGAAAGAGAAATGAGAAGGTAAGGGAAATGATTTTCTTTTCCAAATCCTTACTTAAATTCTTAATTTGATAGATTAAGCTAAGAAAACTATTCATATAAGATTAAAATATGTGAGAAAAATTTGTGATACCCTTGTTTGATTGTATCCCCACATGAGGGAAGTTGACTTGATATTTGTATTTATTCAATAATTCATACCCAATTTTACATAAAAAGACACTAGCTAGTTATGGCTATTATGGTCTCTTTTTATTTATGTGTACAGATGATGGATAAGAGTTGCATTGATTTGCCAAATAGGATGTCGAGCGAATACATTAATGGGATTGATGAATTCCTTGTGTTTGCCTACACCAATACGGTTGAAGGTTCGATGGTCAGTTGTCCGTGTAGGAAGTGTGAGAATCGATACTATTTTGTACGAGAGGGTGTACGGGAGCATCTGATTTTGAATGGTTTTTTTAAAAAATACAAACATTGGATTAATCATGAGGAATCTTACGTATCTCTGCATAGTAATCGAGAGAATAAAACATTAAGTAATTTAGACATTGGGGATGATATGATTGGAATGATACAAGGGGCTATGGCAAATCCACATGCCGGTACAAGTGTTGAGGGTGATGAACCACAGGGGCCTGATCCCCATGCATCTGAACCCCAGCTCAGTCCAAATGCAGAGACTGCAAAGTATTTCAAACTTCTTCAAGATGCACAAAGTGAATTGTATCCAGGTTGTCAGAAGTTCACATCTTTGTCATTCATTGTTCGACTTCTACATTTGAAAGTGTTTAATCAGTGGACAAACAAGTCTGTTGACATGTTGCTTGAGTTATTGAATGACGCGTTCCTGTTGGGTGTGAAACTCCCGGACTCATATTATAAAGCTCAAAAGGTCACAACAGATTTGGGCTTCACGTATGAGATGTGGGATGCATGTCCCAACAGTTGCATGTTGTTTCGAAACGAGGACGCCAATCTTGACAAATGTGTCATATGCAACAGTTCTAGATGGAAATCAAATGGTGATGGTGGTTCAAATGGTCCTAACAAAGGTGGCAAACAAATAGCTGCAAAACAGATGAGGTATTTTCCTTTAAAGCCAAGGTTGCAGAGGTTGTTTATGTCATCCAAGACGGCCAAGTTGATTTATAACTAGAAACAACATGTGCCACATTCTGGGATTCATTATGGACATCTAAAAGTATAATTTTATACCAATGAGTATATATACTTCTTATCTTGAGAATATTGGGTTCAAGGCCATTTGGACCCATTAAAGAGAAGGATGCCCTGAAAGGCGCTAGTTTACTATTCAAAATAGTTTTCGGTGGGACCAATGTTGCCATTGGATTCTTAGAAGTTCGTATGTAGTTGAGAATTGTGGTTGAATCCTTAAAAAATACTGTTGTTCCTGGAAGTACATGAGCATCAACTAATATTCCAATGCCATTCACAGGGTTTTGTAGAATGAACCCAATTCCTTGGACTCTTTTGACCTCTAAGCCTTTCTCAACATTATATGAATACCCACTTAGACACAAAACAATTTTTCCTTTCACAAGCTCCGGTGAGAGAGTACCATCAAGGCATTGTCTGGAAAAATTCAACAACTCAAATTCAAATGGTTCAAAATATCAATTAAATCTGTACACTTTTGAACAAAAAGAAATGAATAATTACCCAGTCGTACTATTCGTGGTTGTTCCAGGGACTTCAACATCCCCAGCATAAACTAGTAAATACATTTTGTCTAGCTGGAAGGGTGTTACTGTTTGTCCCTATGTACAGATGGAGGAGAAAACATTATGAATAAAATTCAATATAAGAAGAGTATTGATATTCAGGCACAAAAATTAGACCCATTTTATAGACACAGTGATGTGTCAACCAATCATTTTCTTCACATATAATTAGGTTTAGAAAGTGGGTCTAAAAAGTAGACTTGTATATCACTTTCCATATCAGAAACGTTTATTTTTTCTTTTGAAATAATGGATTAGCATTTTATGTGTGATATAGAGATTGATTATTTTAAATCGGTCTCGTTTGGCATAACCTATATAATCCATCTTTTTATCTTTTTATCTTTTTTTCATCACATCACCTTTCTACTTTTCTGCATATCTTTTCGTAAAAAGACAAAAAGTGCACTTTTTTATGACACCCCAAACCAACCAATAACGAAAAATCCACATGATGAAAAAAACCTATAAGAGTATTATATATATATATATATA